ACGAGGTCACAATATTTTTTTATTAAAACGATTTTCTCCGAGGTACGCGTGACCATGATGGAACAACATGCTGAATGCATCAATTGTACACTACACAACCGTTTCGTATCAAATAAAATTTAAAAATTTACATTATAATAAGTTATTCGTATCTCGATGTCGTATCCTACTATCTTCTTGCAAAAAATAATTGGCTCGACTCTGTCCTGCGCAACATAAACTCTTCGCTAGACCTTGTCACCGTGTCGATAGCGTACATTCAACGCGACCTTTTGATCGGGTCGCGCGACCTGAGATTACGAGCGCATCGCACTCGCGCGTCAAGACACTGTCTCCCGAGAGCGGAACAAAATTAATAAATTTCAAGAAAACGACGATGGCGGCGAGTGCGCGCACGCGCGACCTGTCGAAAAGCGCGGGGAACCTCGCAAAGCGCGCGCCCTAACCTCGCTCCGCCGTCAGCGTCGAGCGCGCGTCTTAACCTCGCTCCGCCGTCAGCGTCGAGCGCGACGACAGCGTCGCGTGGCAACCGACCGGCGCCCCCACCACAGGCGCGTGACCTTGAAAAAACCGTGTTTCGCTTTCTAAATCACACACACATTCAAAGAAGTCACGCACACAAGCATAGAGCAGCCACGCGATTGGCTATCCCCCCGATGACCGTGTCTGTGGATTTCATACACATCTGGTTTGTCTACTAATAATATTTCCATCGAAAAAAGTGCTACTGTTTCTGCAGCCTTGATAGAGTCAGATGATGATTGTATTATCGTTAGTCATGAAACTAACCATATTCCGACAGAAGATGAAATGGCAAGTCGCAGAAGAGTTTTAGACAGTCGTCAGATATATCTTTCTTCAGTAAAAGAAAATGTGTTATCTAAATATAGTAAATTAGATGATGATTCGCTGGATATCTTCATACGCGTTGTGGCACAAACATCTTGTTTCGAAACACAAAGCGTACACTATATAGAATTTCCAGAATTAATTACAGCCAGTGATCGAAAAAGTATTCAAATAATTGGAGGAAATTGTACTGATCATTGGCGATGCATCTTTTTCAACGGAAAAAAACTTTATGTATATGACAGTTTACCTGGCTGTACATACGATAAAATGGCGTCGAAAGAAAGACAATATATCCAAGCTCGTTTTCCGCAAGTAGTAAGTACCGACATAAGGTTTGAAAAAGTTCAAACGCAACCGGATGGTACGTCTTGTGGAATATATGCTGCGGCTTTTGCAACGGATATAGCCTTGGGTAAAAATCCTAGCAAACAGAAATATTCCAAAAACGTTGAATTAATGAGACATCACTTTGTTTCTATCATTGCAAGCAATAGACTGATACCTTTTCCCAAAGAATAAATATTCTTTGAATGTTAGATAATTTCAAGCGAAATTATAATAACAACTAAGATCCAGCTCGTATTGTTTTATCGGTTGTGTTCTAACATGAAAAGGCCTAAAACATTTACTATTTGCTCTAAAATATTGTTATATTATCGTACAAAAGTGTAATAGTACACTGCCAAATGATAGAACGGTCATGAAAGAAGTACATAACTTTGATGTACAAATTTTGATATACTTGCTGTCTCAAAGACGGGAATATTTGCCCATTTTATGGGCTAGACACAACAACGGAGAAACGATAGAAAATTTTTGGTTGCGTTTCACGGGAATGGGCGATGGAGGGGCCCATTTCATATTGTCAAAATTATCATGTGTATTGTCATGTGTTGTCAATACAACATATATTCCATATACATGTGTAGCTATTCCATCTCTTTTTGTTACGTCTAACGAAAAAAAAAAAAATTTCTCATGCTGAGATATTCGCTAATTTCCCTACGTCTCCATTTACACGAAACATTAGAATTTTCTAAGTATTATTTGTGTCGTACATACAGGGTGTCCCAGAGAGACCGCAAAAAATTACATGTACAGGTAGAGAGGACTGAACTGAGTCTAAAAGCCCTGTTCCATTTTGCGATATCAGAAATAGCGAGATATTAATTTTTAAAGATTGTCGAATAAGCGCGTTTACTCAGCCTACCTGAGCTGCGGGACGGCTTCGCAAGCGTCGAGCATTCAGAGCTTCATTCTAATAAAGTATTCACTGTCAATAGCAGCACGGAACAAAATAAAAAAAATGATCGTTAAAGTTTAAGATTGGCCGAACGTTTTCATTTTTTACTCGTGCTGATTGGATAATTAGTTCGTGAGTACAAAATCATTTTCAGTCGCTAAAACGTGGGATCTAGATTTTTAAAAATCAAAACTTTTAACAAAAATTCTGAAAAAATTCCGTACGCTACACTGGGTCAAAGTGAACATTTTTTGTCTCTTAGACTTTTTTGATGAGATCAATAGTTTTCGAGACAGAAAATGTCACAGCTTGAAAAATTACTAGATTTACGAGTTTTGTACTCACGAACTAATTATCCAATCAGCACGAGTAAAAAATGAAAATGTTCGGCCAATCTTAAACTTTAACGAGCATTTTTTTTATTTTGATCTGTGCTGCTATTGACAGTGAATACTTTATTAGAATGAAGCTCTGAATGCTCGTCCGCGGCGCGTGATCAGCGAGATCTCGACGCTGCGTTGCCGCGCCAAGCATGTTTTGGACGTTGTCAGATGTATCTAGCTGCGATGCTATGACTCGGCGGCGTCATGTCGAGATTCAAGAGGGCTCAGGCGCCGCGGACGCGCATTCAGAGCTCCATTCTAA